GCCGCAGATTCTTAAATGGACTCCATACGCTGAATAAATCTGATATCAGAAAATGAAATATAATGTTTACCGGTAGAATTCAAGAGTCAAAATGTGAAAACTTCTGCGGAACAGAGGAATATACATTTTTGTACTGTTTTTCCAGACAACAGCGTACCGACACTGCTAGAAAGTGGAATTTGATTTTACAAAGAACTGAACTGATTGACTGAAAATAGGTGGCGACAGGGGCAGTGATTCCATTAGACTGAAAAACCTTCGGATTACTGTCATAACGAATTCTGTTGTGGCTGGCTGTCGTCATCTTCTTAAGCAGACAAAAGAACTGGTTCTGTGTGTCTGTCTAGATCATTACTTAGAGTCGTTTGCATCAGCACTGCGACGTATGCTGCATACGCAGCTTTTTGACACCTCTGCCATAGGGCACTCATTACTGCATCAGAGAAGGAAATACTTCCCTTCGAAAGCAGACTTGCCGTACTTTGTTCCTTTATGTTGCATACTGGCCTCCTGGTCGTCAACTGTCGTGTTTTGGCTTCTACACGAACAGCTCATGTGCTAGAGTAGATGGATTATGCAAAACCAGTTTGTTTAAAAGGGCCAACCTACTTTTCTTAATTTCCTCGTCTACCGAAATCAGCTACGCCCGTAAGAGAATAGAGCCATTCCTCAAGTGTCCTATCACTGATACGTCATAACGTGCCTAAGCCAATACTGCTGCACGCAATTCAGCTGTCCTTCTAGCTTATTCGGGACACCTGACTCCACGCTGTACAGTAACACTGCTCTAACAGAGACAAGGGACATGGGGATTTCATTGGATAACTCAACTCCTTTCACAACCCAAATAAACAGGTTAAACAGGTTTCCTAAATCATTCCAGGCCAGAAGTTTCCTCATATTTAACTTTGATTGTGAATTGTGCTATTGCTGGAGATGATTTAGCTGAAATACTTAAAACGGTCAACCTGAAGAACGGCTTCTCCACCTGTTCCGATTGTAGATTAGATGTGCTGGATGGATTCCTCAAATCTTCTGAATTCCAGACGCGAAGGAAGAAGCTGGCTTCCGCAGCAGTGTTGAGTACGGAAACATACAGAGCCTGTCTTTCGCACTACTCACGAGAGCAATATC